TTAGATTCTAATCTGTGCAATTCACGTTCCAATTCGTTGATCCTGTCTGCCTCTTTAATTGCTTCCTATTAGCAAGTGATTATTGTCGCCTGGGATTCAATTAATTTCTGAAGGAGTTCAAGTTCTTGTTCTTCCAGTGACTTCTTCATATTACTCTCATGGTTGTTTAACTTCTTCTGCAACTTCTCTACTTCGATATCCTTATTCTTCAAGGCGGCCCCCTTCGTCGCAATTTCATTCCGAAGCTGACACGTTGCTTCATCTGTACTATAAGTTTCCTATAAATATTTATTAGGTGCAATGTTCAGTTAAAATGCTAGTTTTTCTTGCTTTAAAATAGTACAAATACGAACAAAAATGATGCTTAAAGTGTGGATATAACTGTTTTAGGACAAAAAACATATTTTTGTTTGCTTGTTTGTTTGTAATATTTTTAATAATACAAATTTTTTGAATACTAAATGATCAGAAAAAATTGTAAAATTTCAGCTAATATCCAATAATCAATAAAAGCTTTTTACATGTTAATTGAGAGATATAAAAAATCTTGATTTTACCTGTTTTTTGTTTGAACTTAAAATTTTTGACCAATCTGAAGTGCACCACAAATGCAAGGTTGTTTTTTGATAGTTTTCTTTTTTTTGTTACTTTTTAAAGGTTCTTTTAAAACCTGTTTTTTAATAGTTTTATTATGTTTTTTTTAAATCTCCAAATGCAGAGTGCGTTAAAAATATCTAGGTCTACTTCGCTAGATTGAGTACCCTAGAAATTTCGAATACTCCGGAGGTGTCGTTTTTAATATCATCGTTTAAAAAAAAATTCTGCTTTTTCGTGATGGGAGGTAGTGCTTTTGTGGATGTTTAGGGTTTAAAACGTAGTGTTTTGAGATAGTTTTGCACGATTTTTAAATCTATGGTTCTTGGCGACTTCGCCGCCAGGACGCGTAGCGTCTATTGGGTTTTCGCTATTTACGGTGAATTAAGTCATATTTAACCGCTATAAGTTTCATAAAACGTTTTAATCAAAGGAATGGAATCGAATGGAAATGGTAAAAATACAAAAACTTACATAGCTATATAATACAGTTAAAAATAATGACATCACACAACATTCAAACAATATTCAAATCAACAAAACAGGAAATGGTTTCGCATTGGTTCGCCAACAGCGTCTTTGTTTTTATGTGATTACATCAAAGATGCTAAATCCAAAGGGTCGTTTTTGTGGTGATTTAGGATGATTTTAAGTGATTTTTTGATCTTCCACAAAGAGACCGGCCAGAAATTCTAACATATTTTTGTGATGGAATACGAGTGCTTTTGAGCGTTTTAATGGATTAAAAGCTTATATTATTTGAAGAACTTATACCTTGATTACGCCAAAATTTGCTAGACCTAAGAATTGTTTTAAGGTGAGTTTTCCTTTATTTTTGCAATTTTTGAGGTAAATGTACCTAGATTTTGGTGGTTTTAGGTGATTTTTCTTTGCCCCATAAGATTCCGGCTAGAAATGAAATGCTGATTTAGAAAAACATTAAAAATTGTAAAATTATCACTAAATTTAAGGGGATTTGATAAATTTTAATGTTTTTGCTTAATTTTGAGATTTTTGAATAATAGGAAGATTTTTGGGAGATACAAAATTTTAGATTTTTCTGAAGTTTTTAAGGGATTTAGTGATTTGGTGTGGTTTTTGATGAATTTTAGTGGTTTCTAATGGATTTTAGTGATTTTTCTTTACTCCCCACGAGATACCGGCTAGAAGTAATATATTCTACTCTACTATGTATCGTTCTCTCTTCGTTCAAAATGTATTAGAAGCGAACATCTTGTGAACTTTCCGGTTGCCAGTAAAAAAAGGAGTTTCAATTTTCCTATAAATATATAATAAAAGACTCGAAAATAGAAGAAATTTAATACTACATCACTTCGCTTACACTACATATCGTTCGACAAACGTATGGTCAAACAACACCAACGAATCAAAGGATCAAGGATGATTGAGACTACGTGTTTGACAGCGTTGTTCGCTGTCAGATGGTTTTGCGCGATCCTTCATCTTCGAGCGCATGTTAACCCAATTTGCGTTCGGCCGTCGAGTACTGTAGTTACAGTGGAGGACGCTTCAGAAACGTCCCATTAATCATCATGAACAATCGATATGCGCATGCAATGTATTCAGATCTGACTTCCTCTTTCATCGGAACTAGTGAATGGGCCCGGCCGGCGAGACGCCTAAAGGAAGACAACGATCGTCGGGTGCGAATAACGCGCCCTTCGTGACTAATAGCCTGCACCAACGCAGAACGCATCGTGAACGGAATTTAACGCTCGTAACTTAGAAATACGGTGCCCGAACATAATAGAGAGCCCAGGCGTTACATAACCGTATTAGACAGAATGCCGCATCGCGCCGTCAGCCCGCAGCGAGCGATTATATGAGGCGCTTGTTTACTCGCCGTAAAACACGTAACGTACCATAGTTTCCTGTTAAATATATCGTTTACTTACCCGCTGCGTCAAGACGTTCCTTTGACGACGGCAGCAGCACATGTATTCTCGGTTCAAGTGATCTCCGTACCCAAGCATGTAATCCTGCTGGAAAAAGGACAAGGGTAGCGTAACGCGTACTTTCCGAGTTCAAATAAAATCACTCCCCTTCCTCGCCCCTCTCTCTCTCTTTCTTTCGCGGTAACTCATTCTTATCTTTTCTTTCTCTCTTCCTCTCTCTCTCCTCTATTCTCCCTCTATTACGCTGCTATTATGCCTCTATTGTGCCGCTATTATGCCTTTCTCCTCTCTTTCGCTCATTCAAGTTCTTCTCTTTCCTTCTCTTTCCTATTTCTCTGTCTCCTCCCCTCTCTCTTTCTCCCTCTCTCTCCCTCTCTCTCCTTGTTTCCTTCTCTCCTATCTCATCCTCACTTTTTTTTCTATAATATAAAAGCGTACACCGTAAAGAAATTATCATTCTGGTGGAACCTGTTCCTGCACATAAACGATTATACCAACCCTTGAATATCGAAGTTCATTGCTAAAAGCGCAGGCTGCGTATTTTAATGCGATTCGATACATTTTGTGTAAACAAGGCTTGCCTCGTGAATATCTTGTTCAATTAATAAGCGAAATCACGCGCTAATGAATCAATTACCAATCCGTCTATAACTCATGATATATCCGCGTCACTTGCAAGCGAGTGGAGCATTAAACTCTCGTGAGTTCGCACTCTATTAGCAACAACGAGCGGCGCCCGCATAAACCGCATTTATCGTTGACAAATATGTATTGCAGTTTATCACACAAGTAGAAAACACGTATTTTTGCTCGTAAGCTCGCCGTCAAGACAAATCATGAGCGTAAGCCACACATTATTTCCCGTGACCCACAACTCGTTTCACGTTCATACCGCTCGCTCGCTACGTTCGCGATCGTCTCGCATTCGTATACACGACAGGAAGTGGTTGTTGGCGCAGTTACCGAAGCATAGAAGGGACTTCTCGTCTCAGCGTAATGCAATCTCAGCAGAGACTCCAAGATCCTCGCTGTCACTGAAGACGTACAGGGCACTGGGCCACTTGCAAGATTGACTTACGAGGGATCCGGCAACACGCACGACATCCTGCGACATTAAACGACGAAATCGTCGACGGAATTTACGTCATCGCGCAAACACAATAAAAAGAAGAATTCCACGTGCTCGCGACAGAACAACACGGAGCCGCCGTTTATTCTCGCGCGTATCGCCGTGACCCAGATAGCCGGGCGACCAAAAATTTTCTTTCTCCCGTTTGCCGAATAATCGCGGCGTAAATATCAAGCGCATAAATCAGAGCTAACAGAATTCATTTTCAAGCGCGTTATTCTATATCGTCGACCGCGGGATTAACATCCGCGATGTTTCATCACATGACCTAACGCATCTATCGAATAATCGCGCCTCTCGATATTCGGCATGGTTAACAGGGTGACACGCTAGCGAGATTTTCGCGTATGTTTACTGTAAAGCTCGGGTAATATTATCAGGCCGGTCGCCGCTGGAGTGTCGATTAAAGAGCATCGAGTGAAAACCCATCGATTTGGGACGTACAATATGGTGCCACGTCATGTTAGCGCCACGCGCGCGCATGCGACATTCTGGACGATCGTATCGCATCTTCACGCGTGGGCGAACGTTATTATAATTGTCGTGTTATCATAGTGACATCCGACGTGAAATAATATGAGAGCAATAGAGCGACCCTTGTTCACCGCGTCTATTTCCGGATTTGCAAGGGAGCCGACCACACCGGCCTCGACGGAGCTGAAACGTGGCGTGTATTATCGATCCCACGAGATTGCAATTCTCCGTCGCGTTGATTTAGTATTCAATGTCGTGTTAAGCATTCATAGGTACTTTCAGTGCGATTCCAGAGAGGATGAACCCTTTGCAGCCGCAAAGTGAGAGAGAAAAGTTCAAGTAGATGTACCTCGCGCTACTATTAACTTGACGTAAACACGAGATATCTTTTCGTACGAGAAGATCTGTGTGTGTGTGCGTGTGCGTGTGTGTGTGTGTGTGTGTGTGTGTGTGCAACGTGAAAATGATAAAGATATTTTTATATTTCTACGTTATGTTTCGTTGGTTTTGATAATAAAGTCACGTCGCGTCGTATATAGACGTTAACGTATCAACGAGGAAACTGAAGGATATAACGTATTCACGTGGAATACGTACAGAAGAATATCAGACGATACATAAAATATCATATGTAAACGTTAAAGTATAACCAGTGTCTCGTATTTTACGGTGTAGTACACATCCGCTGAATTATTATGCAAGATTTGATTAATTCATTCTTCCTGTAAAAGCTTCAAAGCGACATGTCGCGCGCGCATTGTCCGTTCTCTGCTTGTTGTTTACAAAGCTTAATTCTCCGAACATCGCGTCGAGAGAAAAATAAATGACCCCTGCGTGACTCGGTGGAATTCCCGCGCGACGAATTAATGTTTGCGGAACTTTTGCAGACGTCGACGTGAACGCGTTTCTCGATCAACTCGGCCAGGAGCTGATCTCCACGGCTTGCGTGGGTCTCTTAGAACGGGCCTTTCGTTGCCTTGGGAACGATCTGACCGCCTTCCTGACCACACTCGACGGCGTAAACGACGTTGTCCAGCACCAGTCCGGATCGGACGCCGAGGCGGAGTTTGTGTGTATCGCCACGCCGGAAGCATTGGAACTACATTTCACCACCGACCACCCTTCCATAGCTTATCTACTGGTTGGCAGTCTCAAGGGCATCGCCAGGCAGTTTTATAACGACAAAGCCGACGTGTATATACTGCCGGATCCCTACAATACTAAATTTTTTAGGTAAATCATCATGCTGTAATACAACTCTTTCTATCGAGAGCTGCGGCCGTTAATTTCATTTCTTACGCTATTCTGTCATGCCTAATTTTAGTTCGACTTCTCCTTCTTGTGAATAAGGGAAACTAGGCCTGGTTGTCACATTTCTTACATATATATTTTTTAATATTGTGCACATATATATACAACTTCTAGATAAATATATATTATCCTTATTTATATGTATACACGAAAAAGTTATTTAGTTATACGCAAAGTCGTGCAAATGTAACTATCCTAATCTATATACGAAGAAAAATAATTTTGCTCTTTTAGCAAAATCGTCGTTGCTACTGCATATTCGTAGTGACATCAAACAATTTTGTTAACGTAATTAATTTTACAAATTATTCGTTATCAGAGCAAAAATAGTTTTGTTGCCAGGATAGAAAACGATTTGTTGAGTATATTTATCCTAAGAATCACGTTAATTTGATGCAAAATAATGTATTCTTAGCAAATTTATTTACTATCGGAGCAAAACTGCAAATACTTATATAAATCCATCATAGTTCTCATAGCAAAATAATTTGTAGATCCAGCAATTTATATCCAGCAAATAGTGATTAGTACTTTAACAAATCTTTTTGCTGTTCATACAATAACGAAAAGATTTTGTTAGACCAGCAGAAAATTTGCTGGGCCAACAAATTATTTTTTTCTATGTATCCACAATTGGTTGTCTTTTATATAAAAGGAAGAAGACAAATTATTTCTATTTTAAGATTTTAAGAGTTTTATTAAAGTTAATAATATCTTATAATTAAGTTCAGTAAACAGTTACTGAACTAAAGAGATAATGGTTCCTATAAACTTTGTAATAACAACTTTGAGCTTTAGGATCTTATACTCACTGTTATGATATGTATAATATTATACATTGCACATGTTTCCATGTTCTCGCGTAAGTTACGTCATAACTACGTAACGGACTCGCAACGCGTGACAACTAATCCCATTTGATTTAAATGAATTTAACTTGAACGGTTATTTGATATAAAAGAGATTATATTTATAAATTATGTAATATTTATAAATTATGCAATAACTGTTAACTAAATGGAGAAAAAATTAGCTAAGCACATAACGATTAAGATAGAGACTGCGGCCAGAAATTTCAAAACCAACGGATCAATAAAAGTAGAGGCAAAAAAATGTATTTACCGCGTTTAATTTTGAAAATGTGCTTCTAAATACAACATAAAATTTTGTCATAAGCCATTTGGTACACTCAATATTATGGTTCCTTTAATAATATAATACACGCAACTTATAGTATCCACACGGAAAAAAAGATTTGCTAGTATATGGACAACTAAAAATATTAACTGCAGGAGCAAATTTTCTTGTTTTCATAGCAAAGTTATTTAGTTGTGATAGCTAAAAGATTTGCTAATATATATATTAGCAAATCTTTTAGCTATCACAACTAAATAATTTTGCTATAAAAGAAAGAAAATTTGCTCCTACAGTTAATATATATATTAGCAAATCTTTTAGCTATCACAACTAAATAACTTTGCTATGAAAGCAAGAAAATTTGCTCCTGCAGTTAATATTTTTAGTTGTCCATATATTATCAAATCTTTTTTTTCTATGCACACTGAGAGAAAAATGTATGATATTTATATCTATAATGGCATAGTAAAAATATTATAGTTAGGAATATAATTTTTATAGTAAATATTACCATAATATTTGTAATATTTACAATATAAGTATAGTATAACTGACCCGTGTAAAATTTTTACCAAGAATTATAATTATTTGAAATAAAAAATTTGGTAAGGTGGCAAATATTGAATGGTAAGAGAAATTAACTATTTTATATAGTCAATACAATTGGAATATTTGGCAAATATAGGTACATGTAACTATATTCCCAAAAGGTGCTTTACCATATATATAGAGTAATAAGATGGTGACTATAAATCTGTGTTCATTCTATTATATCTTCATGTTTAGATGAACTATAAATATATGTTTGAAGCCAAAACGAACTATAAAATATAGTGAGATTATAATTATTCCAACTATTTTTTTTCTCTCAGTGCAGAAGAATATGTTTCTCCATTTATTGCGTGAGATATAAGCTTTGTGCACTGAGAGAAAAAAATAGTTGGAATAACTATAATCTCACTATATTTTATAGTTCGTTTTGGCCTTAAACATATATTTATAGTTTATCTAAACATGAAGATATAGTAGAATGAACACAGATTTATAGTCACCATCTTATTACTCTATATATATGGTAAAGCACCTTTTGGGAATATAGTTACATGTACCTATATTTGCCAAATATTCCAATTGTATTGACTATATAAAATAGTTAATTTCTCTTACCATTCAATATTTGTCACCTTACCATATTTTTTATTTCAAATAATTATAATTCTTGGTAAAAATTTTACACGGGTTAGTTATACTATACTTATATTGTAAATATTACAAATATTATACTATAAAAATTATAGTTTACTATAAAAATTATATTCCTAACTATAATATTTTTACTATGCCATTATAGTTCCAAATATCATACATTTTTCTTTCAGTGTGACAATTGATCCGTGTGATTTCTAAACCCGGTTTTCCCTAGTTGTTTAACTTCTGCCAATCGTAGCGTACCACCAGTCGTCAGTGGCTTTTAATTTCCGTATCTGTCCGACACGATTTTGAAATGCTCAGCACTAAGAAACGCCGTCGAAGCATCGAGGTAAAGGGATAAGGAAATGTTCTAGATCGATTATCTATACGTCCAACAAGGAATACGAAAAATTGTTATCGAATGTCACGCGCGAACGAGCTTTCCATAGCGATAGAAGCAGAATGCGTGTTGCCTCATTCTGACGTGACACAATTTTAGTTCGATAACAGTTGGCAGTTATTCGTAAATTGAAAAAAAAGTGGTGCAAAAGAGAAAGAGAGAGAGAGAGAGAGAGAGAGAGAGAGAGAAAGAGAGAGGAGCAACGGAAATCAAAACAGTGAAAATGCTGAAAACATGATTTCTAGAGATGTACGGTGAAAATTGTTGACACAACATTAACCGTGCGACACAGTTACGATCTTCGCGATATTCGCTAAAAATTTCAATTCAATCGTACGATTAAATCTTCGTATCAACGAGTATAAAGAAAAAAACGAGTAGCTAGAAAAATGGATATATAAAACTGCAACGATATTGTCAGACAACATAAATATATCGCGATGCGAATCTCGACAAGCACTGTGAACGCGAATGACCTTTGTGATATCGCGCCATTCCTTGCTCAATTAATTTGCACATATTCTATCGTACGTGTCGCTCGTTATTTGTTCAAACAATTCTTGTTTGCGCAAACTTTATGCTACGTTTCGATCATGATACGATATACTCGTCTGCTCCGATCGCATACGAAATACGGTTTGAAAAAAAATTACCGGATTGTCGCGCTGTCATTTGTCGTACATCATACATTTGCGCGTCTCTCCACGACTACGTTTCATGTGTTTGCTCGCCGAATCGCGTGTAGTGAAATAATGTCATGTGAATATAATTCATGTGGATAGGCAAAAGCAGCACGTGAGAGTACCTTTCGTTTGAACAAATATTGATTCTCCGACAGTGGCAAATATTTGATGATAGGTGCGGCAGCAGCGAGTCACGTTAATTCTGAAAGGACGGGGTTGGACGCGCGAACATGTGAATGACGTGCAAAATACCGTCACCGCATATCACTTACATTTCCCAGTCCAATTAAATGTTGCACGGAGCACGACTGGTTAGTACTTCCACGACATGCATGGTACGACATTCTACGATACAAATCGTAGGTATAATCGTCACGGGTAAAATTCCTAACTTTGCGAGAGAAATGTTAGCCATGCATAATATACAGGGTGTTCCCGGATTAAGCGACCAAATATGAATTTAGGATCTCAAAACAAACAAAAATTTCCTGTGGAAGTTTGCTCGCAAACGCTTCGTTCAAGAGATATCGACATAAGTTACAGAACTATACGAATGAATAATGACGAAATAAGGTCTATTCTCTTTTTTTATTGCTGTATCGATGACAGAATGAGTGGCTGACTGACATTGTGCTTCTGTAATTTCTTCGCACGTTTGCACAATTTTTCATTGTAATGATTGAAAGTCATTACAACATTAATTAATTATTTTACAACATAATAATTTATTACAACATTAATTAGAATACATACGAGGCATGATTATAGTACGAGGATACTAGTTTATCCCACGTAAGCATTTAGTGAACTGACAATTATTTGGTACAAAAGAAAACAACAACAGTGCAAACGAAAGCCTATCAATGACTTTCAATTTTCAAAACAAGAACTATTTCAACATTATTCATTCGTATAGTTCTGTAATTTAAGATGTCGATATCTCTTGAATGAAGCGTTTGCGAGCAAATTTCCAGAGGAAATTGTTTTGTTTGTTTGGAGGTCCTAAATTCATATTTAAAGTTTGGTCGTTTATCCTGTATATTGTATGTACATTTGCACAATAAATCCTACGTAGACATGTATAAAGTAAACATATCAATGCTAGGAGAACTCTGGACATTTATTATTTTGATCTTTAACTCTCACATGGTATGCATCTTTTTGGCAACTTAATATGGCGAATCGGTTTCGTCTTCCCTTATTTAAATTTCCCATAAAAGTGCTAATAAAAATCTATGAAAAATTATAAATATACTTTTAAGTCTATAAAGTACAATTATATATGTAAAAAAATTATCATGCAAATTAATTTTACTTAAGTATTTCATTTTATTGCAAATATAAATAGGAACATTATAAAAACATTAGTTTGTGCGAAAATTTATAGTTTCTTTGAAAACGACTTTAAGAAATTATAATACTCTAGGATTCTTTTAATACTTGAACAAAATATTCTTTTAATACTTAAAAAAAATATTACACATTTTAATTCGACAAAAAAAAATAATTATTTGTATGTATAAAAACTTTTTTCAATCATCAACGAATAAAATAACAAATAGTTTCAAGTTTTTACAGTATATATTAATACGTTAAAATTAATTAAAGATTAAATTAATTAAATTATTACGTTTAAATTAATAAGTGCAAATTTTATTAAAATTATTACTATTAATAATATTAATAATATTAATAATATTAATAATATTAATAATATTAATAATATTAATAATACTAATATTATTATTATTAATAATTTTATTAAAAGAATTATCTGAAATTTTCTTTGTACGTGATTAGAGTTTATGATATTAAAACTTTGATCACGTATAATATAGCCAGAAATAAATAAGCTACTTACAAAGAACTTTTCTTATTTAATATAAACAACTGAAATATAACAATATATAAATTATTTTTATTTTACATCTTTATATTTTACATTTTGACATTTCTCTTATACGGAAAAAAAAGGTTGAATTAATCAAATAAGATTGAATTAATCAAATAACTGGTCGAATATCAACAATCCAGAAATTCCGATTGAAGTAATCCGAATTCTGTTTAAGTCAACCAAACATCTTGTTAAACAGAATTCGGGTTACTTCAATCGGAATTTCTGGACCGTTTATATTCGACCAGATATTTGGTTAATTCAACCAAACCTTTTTTTCCGTGTAGTATGGCATATTGTTTCAGAAATGACTGACATAAATTAAGACGGGGAACAAAAATTCTTATTTTTTACTAGGTTAGGAGAAATATAAAAAAGCGAAAATCATTTCAGTGTGCCAGATTAGAATTAAATAACAACATTTAAACTTTTAAAATGGTATATATATATATTAGGAATGGAAAGCTATCGAAGGCACTATCGATAACTATCGATAATTTACATTATCAATAACTATTGTCAATTTAAAATCAAAGGCAATCAACAGTTTCTGATAGTTTCTTTCTTCACAATTTGATCTATTTGAAAATAATAGTTTGTAATAAAATATTTTAAATTAACAATTAATAAATTTATTTCTTAGATTTCTGCTTAGATTAATAAATAAATCTTAACGTTCTGATTATTTCTGTAACAGCAAAACGCATTTTCAATAATATTGATCAAATCATATCACAGAAGAATAAGCAAATTTATAACTAAAAAATAAAGATATGTTGATACTTTTAAATTAGAATAAATACCTAAATTCTTTATTAAAATACTTTTCTGAAGTACTCGGTGATTCATCTTTTATTATATTTTTTTAACGTGAAATAAAACTATTTAATTAATTTTATGTAATTGTTTAGTACCAACTGAAGCCTATTTAGCGCGCAATAATAAATTAATAAAATTTATAAATTAATGAAAAAGGTAAGAAGGTAAAAAGAAGACACGAATAAACGGTTATTTTATTAATACAGTTATTTATACAGTTATTTTATTAATTTTTTTATAAAATATGTAACACTATCAATAATTATCCCGCGATGAGATATAATATCGATAGTTCCCCATCTATAATACATATATTAAATATATGCATATATTAAATATATGCATATATTCTATATTGAGAATTTAAATATTCGTATTTAAAAGCCAAAACAATAAAAATGTCCAAGTTAAAGTACATATTCTGGCATTGGTACTTTTACCTGACATGAGACACACGAGTGTTGCCGAATATTTCGAACATGCATGCTTATCGATATTCACTGGGGAAATGCAGCCGACGCTAAATTATTAAATATTTATTAAATACTCGCGCAATAGTATAAATGGCAACCACAAGAGATTGCTCGTTGTTGCAGATATCGCATTACTCCGGAGCGTTACAGCGGACAGCTGGATACCGACGTAGACGACGATTTCGATGTAGTCTCGCCCACTTTCCGTCCACTTTCCACTGAAGCAACGGACCTTCGTATGGGGGTAGCAAGCTTCTGCAAGGCATTCCCGTGGCACTTTGTCGTCGATCGTCAGCTGGAACTCGTGCAGCTCGGTGTCGGCTTTATGAAGATTTTTGGTCATCATCTCAATCGACTGGGCAGAGAGATATCGACGTATTTCGTCTTCACACGACCCCACGGTGTCACTTTGACCTTTCACGAGATCCTAAAGCGCGCGAACACACCGTTCATCCTGACCCTTCAGAGACCGCACGGCGTCGATAAATATCCCGCGGAGGTATGCTCATGATGTGGTTGCCAACGCAAGATGATCAACTTACTCACGAACCCGATAACACAAACACGTAAATACAAGCAGACTAAACGAAGAGACCGTTTAACTTAAAGACTCTTGCTTTGAGACGTACCATTACTGTAAATCATTGCCGCCGTAAGCCCAATAACCCGGATTCGTGAAACAAGAAAGATATACATGTAAATATTTTGCATTACATTATAGGGCTTGGAAATGAAGGGTCAAATGGTACATTGTCCAGAATCCGACTCGATTTTGTTCGTCAGCTCACCGTTCTTAAATGGGTTGGAGGGCTTAACGGGTCGAGGACTCTTCATTTCTGATATTCCTCTTCATGATGCTACAAGGGACGTTATACTCGTCGGCGAGCAAGCCAGGGCACAGGTGATTAAATTCATAACTACTATTGTCGTAAGTAAATCAACTACTCGTGGTGCTCATTGTCAAATGCGCAGGTCTGTTATTGTGCTTATTATCAATAATCAATGCGATATTATATATATATATATATATATACATATATATATATATATATATATATATATATATATATATATATACACATACATACACAGGGTGTTTCAATTTAAATGCTCTAAGCAAAAATATGGAAGATACGGAAAAATGTTTCAGACAAAAGTTATATGGTTCGATAAAGACATAAGAAGGTACCATTGGTTTGACCTTGCGTGGCGCCGCCAAAGTCAGGTCGCGCTCAACTTTACTTTTTTAAATAGAAACATATATTTTTTTATTACAGAATTTTATTCTATATAAAAAAGCAAACAACTTTTGTTTGAAAATTTTTTTATATGACTTCTATTTTCTATTTATATTTACCGAAATATCTACAAAATTATTGGTTTCAATAATTTTTTACTAAAATTCTATCAACTTTACCGAGAAATAGCAAGAGATAAAAATTATCTATTTTCTTCTCGTAGAACTCTGAGAATTTTTTCAGAATTTTTTATAAACTTTTTAGTACTTCAAGAAAATGAAGAAAACGATATACTAAAAAGTTAATTAAAAAATTCTGAAAAATTTTTCAGATCTTTACGAGAAGAAAATAAACAATTTTTATCTCTTGCTATTTTTCGGTAAAGTTGATAGAATTCGAGTAAAAAATTATTGAAAGTAATAATTTTGGAAATATTTCCATAAATATCTTAGAAAATGGAGGTTGTATAAAAAATATTTTCAAACAAAAATTATTTCTTTACGTAGAATAAAATTCCGTAATAAAAAATAGAGATTTCTATTTAAAAAAGCAAAGTTGACCTCGACCTGACCTTGGCGGTGCCACGCAAGGTCAAACCAATGGTACTTTCTTATGTCCTCTATCAAACCATATAACTTTTGTCTGAAACATTTTTCCATATCTTTCATATTTTTCGAGATTTTTGCTTGGGGCATTTAAAAAGGAACATCTTATATATTTATCTTATATATATATATATATATATATATATATATATATATATATATATATATATATATATATAT